CATAGTTAACTATGCTTGGCTGTGGAGCAGTGGAATTGGAAAATCCCATTTAATCAAAGAAAGCTGCTTCCCCTGTTTAAGCAGGCCATGTCATCTGTTGGTTTTCTGGAACATAACATCATGTTGGGATTGGTCACAGGCTCAGGCTGGCTCATTTGAGACCTCTAGTCTTGTTCACAGTTAGGAAGAAGAAAGCAAGACCTTTTCTATAGGCTGCCATATACAGTGGTCCCATCAGGCCCTGTCTTTGTGTAATTTCTAGTCTCTTTCTTTATCCCCTCATTCCTTCTCTCACACTTTATGCCTTTCTTTCACTGGCTTTATAGTTCCTGCATTCATAGAAATGCAAAAGCATTGAAAGTAAAGTTGTTCTTCCCAAACCACTCCCTAAGGTGGAATGGTTAAATATTTTGGTGTGTTGTCTCTTCCTGTAACGTCCTGAAAGACCTCACAGTGAAATCAAAGCCCCATTGTGCTTGGTACTCTGCAAAATCCTGGGAAAAAAACAGTCCCTCTGAAGTAGTATTTTGATACTCAGGAAACATGTCATAAATTCCACCTAAAATGACTACTTTTGTTTGCTTATTTTTGTTACTAGGCTGACTGTGTTTACCATCAAATGCTTGAACATGGTTTATATATGTATATTCAATTTGTAAATAATTTCTACTTAGTTATGTCTAAAATTTTGAAGGAAAAAAAATCTTGAGGAGGGGTTCCATGGAAAGTTTCTGTACATTGTGCCCTGTGATAGGATGATGAGAGGCAATGGATTCAAACTGGAGCACAGGAAGTTCTACCTCAACATAAGGAAGAGCTTATTTACTGTGAGAGTTACAGAGCAATGAAACAGACTCCCCAGAGAGGTTATGGAGTCTCCTTCTCTGGAGACTTTCAAGACCTGTCTGGATGCCTTTCTGAGTGATCTGCCCTGGATTTTTTTGGTCCGGCTCTGGCAGAGGGGTTGGAATTGATGATCTTTGGAGGTCCCTTCCAACCCCCAATACTCTGTCATTCTCTGATTCTATTGTTTTATCACAAATGTGAACAAGTCATGATGGTCCAATATATCTCATGGGTTAAGATGTGACTTACTGCTGTCAATGTTACAAAGAGGTTGAATCAACACATTGCTGATGCATTGATACACAAATATTTTGGCAAGTTTTCAAAATATATTTGAATTATTGAGGACTGTTGTTATTGTGTATCTTGGGGCAGGTATATGTGCTCAAGAGATCCAAAATGAGTCCTTTGCCTCAGTAGAGGATTATGCAGATATTTAAAAAAGTATTATAAGCCATGTATCTGTTAAAGTATGAGTAATTTTAAGCATTAAGTACATTTGAGACAGAATAAGCTTATCAGGAAATTATTATCATTTGTTTACATAGGGTTTTGCTGACATAGGAAAAGTTTTTAAAATGCAAATATGAGTTGATTCTTTAAGTTGGAGCTGTACCACAGGTTGTCTCATTAATCATACATCTTTCTGGAGAGATGTCGTCAATTTAAATAATGGATAATGCAGTGATTTCCTTCATTCTTAGTTGTAGTTTCCCTGTGGATAAATTAAAAATATTTTAAAATAAATAATACTTTATTTCTAAATACAGGTTTTGCATCTGAGAGTGTGATATGTATCATTGCGCTGATCACTGTAATGTCACAAAATAGTGTTTTCCTTTTTTATTTGAATGTGAATCACTGAATGAGAAGCAATGAGCTTTCACGTTGCTAAGGTCATTTCTCTGTGTGACCTTACTAGATGACTTTGACTAGGGTTAAAACTGATAAATTGAAATAAACAACAGTATCACAGAACACAGGAATTGTTGATAAATGTGGGTCAGACTTAAGAGAATGAATATCAGGCTGTCCCCAGGAATTTTGCTTCCGTTTCAGTTGCCTGAAAAAAATTAGTCACACTGAAATGGTGGAGATTTGAGATACTAGATGAGAAGCATGTTGCAATGGAAAAATCCCTAACACTTAATATCTTTGTAAGGTTACAGATACAAGAGAAATCTTAGTCTTTGTCTTGAGCTTCCTAATAAATAATAATTTCTTAATTATTTTGGTTTTCTGCTACCACATCTCATTCTGCGCTCTACTATCTCTCTTTCTGGTGATGTCTTGATCAAGCTGAGATTTCTTTGTGTCATCCCTTGAAAATACTGGAATTTAATGCATTTAGGTAAGGAAATCTTCCTTTGTTTCCATGTGTGTATTGAAACAATTTTACTTACCACTTCTTTCTTTCAGTGCATTGTGAATCTATTGAGCCCTTTTTAGGAACATGCCAGTGTGCTGCTATTCTCCCTGTATTGTAGAATTTGTCAGTTATAATACATTAATGACTACTACAGTTACTAAAGTGTATAGGTGTGTAAAGAATTTTGGGCATGCCTGACAAATAATAGTAAATATGTGACCTTGGAATCCCAGCAGTAACAAAAACATTCTAATGTTATCAGTCCTAGCTGGAACACTTACTGCTAGTTAAAAGAGAGCTTGCTGAAGGGAAGAAAAATTAGGAAAAAGGAAATTGGCTTCATCCTGGCTCAAACCAGGACAAGTCAATCAAAGAAATCCACCTCTATCTTCTTATTTTGTAATTAATCATATATTCAAAAATTTTACATACATATATAAATTGAAATTAATTCAAAACCAGATTTACAATGTCTGGTTAAGATAAAAGTGTAAAATAGGCTATAATATTCTGAAGAAGAAAAAGCTTAAATACTAATTCAGATCTTAATTGCCAGACTAAATCTGAGAACAACAATCAGAAATCCACAGTAATGGTAATTAATCATGGTAACAGTTTATTGAAGGCTGTTACTTAGAAGTCCTCTTTTTCATAGCTTTTGGATTCCTAATTGATAGTATGTTAAAATGCTAAGAGGTAAATTACTGAGCAAATTAGTATAGTAGGCTTTTGCTTTTTGGAGAAGAGCTGTCAATTTCTATGTAAGACCATAGTTCTAGCCCCATTTTTGTCCCTAGCAAAAATCCAGTCATAATATGAAGACAAATTATGCATCAAAACAAATATCTTGATAGAGTCAGGTTTGCCTAAACAGCCAGGATGCTTTTTATCAGATATTAATAAAAAACTAGAAAAACCTGCCTCCACTTTCTCACCAGTGAAAACATATCCTGTTTTCAGAGAGGTAACATTATAGAGAGAGCTCTCACCTTCAGCTGGAGTGAATAATCCTGCAATTTTTGTGAGCTGTAAACATGCAGCTCAGTCTATCCTGGACTATGAAGCATGGGAAATCTTCCCTCTGATCACCAATATGAGCTGAAGGGTACATAACATCTCAGAGGATAAGATAGATGACCCTAATATCCAGCAATGTAACATATGAAATTAATTACAAGAACAGTTCACAAGTGTCTGTTTTCTATGACCCTAGTTGTTCTGGGTAAGACAAGAAGCTGTTTAACATAAGACTTTGTCACTGTGAATCACTCCAAAACCTGGAGGAATAAGTGGTCTCATACTGCATACTCTAGATGTTATCTGCCTATTCAAGTGTACCTATTTGGGACCCTGATAACAGCGAAGGTTTCTCTTTGGTACTTTTAATCTCAATGTAGACTGTTGACAACTTGATGATAGCTTTTCCCAAAATTACTGGAAGAGAGTTTGCCTTTTCAGCAATATACCACTGAGTGAGCAAAATTCAAGAGCTTCTAAAAAGGACATTGGAGTGAAGGGGCAATTTAGCTTTATTTCCAATTTTAGGAAAAGAAAGAACAGGAGGGCTTGTTTATCAGTGTTTTGCTGTTATTTTATGTACAGTATATAATACCCTGTCAAATATAGAACAGTTTTCATTACCTTTAAGCTAAGCATTCAGTTAGAGGAACTTTAATTCTATGGAATATCATTGGGGGTTAGGATTATTTGCAGAAGCACTGGTAGGAGTTCTGAATCATGTTTCTTCAGAGTAAGTCTGTGCACCAGCAGAAAGACAACTATCTGTTTGCCCTACCACATACTGATATTTGGCCCTAAGCTATTTTCCTAAGAGATTTGTATAGATTGTATTACTCTTAATATTCACAGGAATATTTTGACAGTGATTGCTTTGACATGTGACAGTTATGTCTTCTAGTATTGGTGACATATGCATCAGAAGTTCTTTTTGTACTGACAAGCAATGACAAATACAAATAACTTTGAAGAAAGCTCGTTTAAATTAGTAGTAGCTTCAGTTTTATTGGAACAGGTCACCAAATACCTCAGTAAAGAGACTCTACCTATTATTACAGGATAAGATTGTATTCTTGCAAGCATTATACTAATCCAAATGTTGCAAAAAACCCCATAGTATAAGGTATAAAAGTTAGAAGGAAAATACAGTTAGACTACTCACAGCCTAAGTAATGCACATAACCAAACATTTGCTAAATGGAGGTATCTCTGTCTTCACATTAAGCTGTAATTTTTGTCCAAGCTAAAACTTGTACTTGATAATAAATACATTATAAAAGAGTACTAGATTTTCATGCCATGTTCATCAACATTACAGAGGCTGTAGATGCTGCAGTAGGAAAAAAGATGAGCAACCAACCAACCAAAAATAACCCTCAAAATAGAAACTTTGACTTATTTTAATTAAACCAATGGTTATTGTTTAGGAAATGTATTAATAATGATAAAATAATATTCACATCAATATTATGTAGGTAATTAATATTACTATTGTCCAAAGACTTCATGATAAAGATGGTAATGTTTTGAAGCTGTGAGCTTTATGAAAATACTCTTTTAATAATTATACCTACTATCAAAATGTAAACTACTGTGAGTACAACTACCTTGAAGGATTGCAGACATCCTTAACAAAAACAAATTAATCCTCCATGGCTGGTGACTCTGCACCTGTAACCACATCACAGCACTCATCTTGCAGGTGCATCCTCTATGTGTAATAATTGACCTTCACTCAGAGTACTGATAATATTGTTCTGTCACACAGGCCTCCAGTGATGCTGCCTCCATTTCTCCAGAGATGCGCTATACACCTCTGCCTTCTGGATCCAGAGACCTCACCAATCACAGAGGTATGAACTGATGTTTTATTGGTATGGGCTGCTGCAAGGTGGTAAGCTTTGCTGTGGGGCCTTCTCTGCATTAGTTACTGCTGCATTGGCACTTTATAGAGAACACTGTGCCTTTCAAACACTAGATGAGAAAACTGTACCTGTCAAGATTACGGATTTTAACTCATATTAAATAGGATTTAAAAGTGGTCTACTGGGAAAGCAAATCTATGGATAATAGCATTCAGTGATATATGTGTGTAAGAGAGTGAAAAATGTGAAGAGATTTGAGTGCTTAAATATTTCTAGGTATCTGATTACGTGCAGCATTGGTAATTCGAGCAAAATTGTAAACTTCCTAATATATGTAAAGGGAGAACTTTTTGACAATTTAACAATTTAGGGTTATAATTTTGAAATATTAACATATTTTCAGTGCAATTGGAAGAGATTCTTCTCTGGTTTTCAACATTAAAGTTGGATCAGTGTTCAATTTCCTTTTTCACCAGTCCTTGGGTCTTAAAAAGCACCTTGGGCAGATTCTCAAATTCTTGCTGCATACTTGTGAACCAAAAATGTTCTTGGAACAGGTGAAAAACTGGAGCAGTCAGGAAGGGCAAATTCCGAGGTCTTTGACCTTTGTTCTAAAAAGTAGAAATTTAGAAAGCTTGTAGCATTTTGCAGCTTGAAATCTGAGCAACAGCAATCTTATTTCCCATGTCACAGGTTGATTCCATGATGTAAACCTTTGTGTAGAAGTTTATATAGGATACCAGAATCAAGTCAGTCTTACATTTATTAATTAATGGTAGCTTAGTTTTAGTCTATGTTCAAATTCTGCTGCATTGCAAAAAATCAAGGTAGCATTAGTACTTGAAACCTACTGAAGGAATCAGCCAGACAATGCAACTGAATAAGGAGCCATGAATCAAGTGGGAAGAATGAGGAAAGCAACTCATTATAATTTAATTAATTGCAACCTATATCACTATTGTTGTGCCAGGGCTAAAGATGGGTGTGCAGCTACATGCTGGTCATGGTGTAAATTGATACAGCGTACTGGAAATTAGATGTCCTGAAAGTGCTGTCTTGCATGGTGTTCTGACAAAGACCTCATGTATTAACCGGGTACTTTAAGAGAAAGGACCAAACCAAACCACAATCCTGGATTTGAACACACACCTAGACTTCAGAGATTAAAAAACCCAAAAAGCAAACTAATTACAATAACTGCAAACACACCTCGTCCCTCCCCCAATTCCCAATTGTTGTTGTGGCTTCGATTTCCAGGTAAGCATATTTGCTTTCAGGTTGGATTTCTGGTACTGGATTAAATGGCTAGGGTCTAGTAAAATGATAACAGAATGACAATGTGGTAAATGCCAAAGTTCTATAAAAATACTTTAAAATTGCCATAAAAACCCCAGGTATCCTCAGATCTGTTTTCTTAGATGATAGGGAATTAGAAGTGTGGCTTCATGACTGATACTGGAATCTTGGCAAAAGAAATGCCAGTAGCATTAAACATCAAAAGTTGTGTACCTGCATTATTGATTGCATGAAAGCAATTTTGTGGCTGAAGTAGGCGTTGCAGACATGTCCATATGGGTGTTTGTTCAGAGCTGGAGCTTACCAGGATCTAAGTACCACTGTCATAGCTATCTGTGGTTTGAGAATGCCCGCTCTCTTACCATGAAAGGGAAGACTCTGCTCTCCAAATTATCCGCTTTTTACCTACAGGTCTTCACATAGTTCCTTATTAATTCTGTCTTTACTATTGCCAGAAATATGCTACTTTGCATGTTAAACACGTGCTTGGAAACTTCCTTGATGTTAAGCACAGTTATAAATAAAGCTAATGGAAAAGAGAGTGTCATCCAAAAATAGGCTAAAATTGGCCTTAAAAGAGAAGTTGTTAGCATGATCCAATAAGTTTATATCTATAAAATACATTCAAAAGGATATAGTTAAGAAAACTTTCCAAAATTCCAGGTGTTGTAAATAAAGCTTGGAATAACCTGCTGGCAGGACCCAATCAACTCCTTTTATACAAAGAAAAATCTCTTAAGTTCACAAGCCCATAGAAGATTAATTGGTGTCAATAGAAAAAATTCCAATAAAAGAATGGAATGCTTAAACATGTTTTTTAAAGTTCTGATTATCTTAACATTTTTTTCTTCATTGAATGCTGTTAGTGTTTTAAAAAATTATTGAATCAGCTGTTGCGTATATAAATAGTGGCAGTTTTCAATGCAAACTGGAAAGAAGAATGCTGTAACTCTGTGAGGGCTCTTATTTGTCCCTGGAGGGAGTTGTGTCTAACAGAATCTGAAGTTCTGGCAAATGGTTTGGTACAGCTGTAAATTGATTTGGGAGGGGAAGCAGGAGGAAGCTGATGTATTTGAATGGTACAGTTTGACTTGGACATTTCTTGCTCTATTTTAGCTTTGAATTTTGCAGTGAGAGCAACATAATATAATTTTGCATGCTTTTCACCATGGATCCTAGGGCTTCCATGTTTATGCATGCAGTATGTTATATCTGGATAGGATCTGGTCTCTTTGTGTTGTCTCCGTATTTTGTACAGACAATATTCAGGAAAAAATCTCACTTTCAGAGCCCACAGAAACAGCATAGGACACTGCAGCATCAGTGTTGAATGATACAGAATAATCACTGTAAATATTGTATCAAATGTTACAATGTTTGAGTATATAAGTACATGAAGAGAGAAGGAATTGTGTGATACACATTTTTAAGCTCCCATCTTGGCAAAGTTGTTTTCACTTAAATTGCTTGTTTCTTAGACCCACTTTTCTAAGTTGAACCTTTACTCAGTTGTTCTGTTTGTATTTTATTAGTAGAAAATATATTGGCCTCTAAATTCTATAGAGGTTTTGGGCACCTGACAGCAATCTTTATGAGATCTAATTGCTGTCCTATTAGGCAAGCTTTCCAATGTGGTAATTTTATAGCTAGCTTTATTTTAGTTTTTGATTAAAAAAAACCACAAAAAAAAACCAAAACCAACAAAAACCCGCTCAAACTCTTAATGGTCTTTCCTTGGTCTTTTTTAAAGTAGCATTTTGTATTTCATTTTATATGGTTTTAGACACCAGTGATTTACTGGTGTGAAATTGGTACAATTCTCTTACCTAGATAAACTAAGTAATTTTAAAGACACGTCCTGCTGTCGTACAATGTACTATTATTTTTAAATTCTTTGCTTGTATTGTTCTAGGTTTCAGATGAAACAAAATAAAATGGACCCCACCTTTCTTTCTGCTTGTCCAACTCTATTTTTAAGAAGAAAATCAGTTACTTATACTTGTTTTTAAAAATAAATGGCCGTGCTTCCAATAAACAAACATATTGAAAGATAGTGCATTTTAGTAGAAACTTGCTCCAAAATTTCTGCTTGAATAATTTATTTTAGTGGTTTATCTGTATGGTGCAGGTAGCCTTCTGCTTCTAATTCATAATTTTTAAACTACATACATATACAGTCTAAAAGTAGAGCTTTCAATTCTTAACATAGTTGAAATAGATGGAAAAATAAATTTTAAAATTGTAATAGTGTAATTTTAAGGGTAGTTTTCTTGATGTGTGTAGAAAGGTACCCCACCCTCCACCCCTCTCAGGTTTCATATTCCTTTTCCATAATTGCATCTTTGGTAAGGAAGTTCCTTTGTTATATGTAAGCATTCAAACTCACATTACCTTCTGAAAAGAGAAGTGCTTTCCAGTTGGGGGGGAAATAGTAATTTATCATTCTACCTCTTGAGAAGCAATATTTTGAAATCATCACTATCATGAAAATCTGATTTTCCCATATTAAAAAAAAATAAATAAATACTGGGTGCCCTTTGTATAAACAGATATTTTATAGCATTGTCTATTACCTGATTTACTTGAAAACCTATTCCTTTGCCAAAGCCATTTGGTTTCCAGTAACATTTGGCAAATTACACCTTTTCTTGCACTTGTGTTTCTGGGAACAACCAATGGTTAAGTTTTCCCCACAGCTTACTGGTAAAAGGAAGAAGCAGTTTCCACTGAAAACTAAGTCCAAATTTATGCAAGTAGTTTTTAGAGCCTTAGCTTGGATTTATACCAAGGTTTAATAGTTCAAATCTATTCTGGCTTCAGCATATTCTGGCTTCAGTGAGAACTTCCTGAACAAATCCATTGTCCTGTTTTGGTGTCTATTCAGTTACTTATCTTACATTCTAGTATGCACATGCATTACATTTTCTTGGTTTATATTTGAATGATGAGTGCCCAAAGGAACAATTGTTATTTTTTCTACCAATATATCCAAGTCAGCTGACAGACACATTTTCATATTTTCTGAAAGAGTCTAATCTGAGTTTGAAAGTCATAAACTGTATTCACAACCAAAGCCCAGAAATCTAGGGACAGAATATTTTTAAGCTTCCTATTAATGCTCTGAAGGTAATTTTATAAAGCATTTTTGAATAAAGGGAAAAAGAGGTTCCTTCTGCTCTCAGTTTCTTCTTTTTAACTAGCAGGGTTGTGCTGCAGATTTGTTTTGGAATTAAGATCTTCCCAAACTTTTTTATTCTTAAACAAGTAAAAGCATGTAGCCATATACTCTGTTAGAGACCTGAACTTTTTCCGCCTGCTTTTTTTCTGTGATCATTATACTGTGCTATTGTGTTGAGAGTATTTGTGACACTACATTTTTAGTAATGACTGGTGTGACTACGCAGAATACATTCTGACAGATTTTTGGGGTGTTACCATATGAAGAAGTTGAGATTTGCACTAGGTCAAGACAGAAGTATATTTCAGAATGCACAAACTTTGCGCCATCCAGTTGTGCTGGAATTAACAATCCAATAGATGCTCAAAGAGATGTTCTACTTTCAAAATTTGGTGTTGAAAGAAAAACAGTTAGAATTTTTGGAGAACCAGAAGGAGTAGTATAATTGATGTGATAGGTGAAAGCCCTATGCTATCCTCTGAGAATTTACCTGTTCTTCCCCAGTTTGCTCAGC